GCGATGTCGACGTACAAACAGAGGTGGGAGGCAGTAAACTTGGGGCAATTACGAGGAGAAAACCTTTCACGGACACTCAGTTGTAATAAATATATACGACAAAGAAAACTAAGTAAGCAAAACTAAAAACATACAATTCTCTAATTACTACTGTATGAGGTAAACTTTATACTATGTACATATATCCTAGCAAACACACACAAGCACAGCAGGAGGAAGTGCTAACTCAAAAGCAGCAGTGATGCCAACTGTGTGTGGAATGGTAACTATATACCTATTTTCAGAATTGGTGTTGTGCAACATTGCATACGTAAATATTTGCGTAACTTTGTAACTAAATACTTATAAAAAAAAATCCAAAGTTGATATGTATATATATGCATAATTACGGTGACCATCCGTCCTGTATTATACGGGACAGTTCTCTTTTTTCGTCAAATGTCCTGGTAATTTATTTATTTTATACGGGACGCCAAATGTTCCGTATTTCTTTTAATGTTCCGTATTCGGTAATTTGGCGCCTTAACAGCTCACAAAAATAACATGCCTTTGAACCAGTACTTATTTTTAAATCTGGACGCTTATGGCTCGAATCGAGGAATACATATGTAGGAGGGATTGTATCTTCAACTTGCGAAACTCCAAATAGGAACGCTACCATGACAATGTTGTAAAAGTAAAGAAGTTCTTAAAGATGGAAGGGAAGTGGAACCATTTGGAACCCTTTGCAATTCAGCTAGTTCCGGATATTATTCACTGCACTGCGCTTGGCCGGAATCCGAGTCTGAAAATAATCCATTGAATGCCACTCGTTCTTCCAAAGTAATCGGATATTTTCATCATGGAATGTTTCTAAAAATTCCGTTCACAAAGTACAAAGTTATGGAAAAATATTCTACAAATATGTGATATTGCATCTGAATAAATATTTATGTGCTGCTTTTACAAAAGATCGAAGATATAAGTAAAATAAAGGTGAATTTTAAGGGTTTTAAAACCCTCAAGCTTTTGTGGAAAAAATTTGCAAATTATTTTTCGTGCCGTATTCGGCTGTCATAAATATGGTCACCGTATGTATAGTATGTGTGTATAGTATGTATGTACATACATTAAGCCATGTCACCTTCCAAGCAAACAAAAAAATTTCGCCGTACATTCCCCAATCTAACACAATTTTACAAGGCAATTTCTAATTTTTTTTTGCTCAGCTTTTTACATTTACCTATGACACCTACATTCGGCAATAAAAACTTTTTTTTAATACTAGTTCTACTGAAATAGCCGAAATACTTCCTTTGCAAAAGTTTAATGTTTTTTGGTGAGCTGAATTAACTGAAATTAGAAGGAAAAAAGAAAAGAACATCGATATATCATATTTTAAGATGCGTCTGTAAATGCCGAAGAGTTGAAGAAAAATGTCAAATGGATTTTTAAAGTTAAATAAATGTAAGTAAAAATAATTTATTCAATTTATAAATAAATAACAAATTTGAAAATCTAATTTCGTTGCAAAAAAACATTTAGGAAGAAATATAAAAACAAAGAAATTAAACAAAAATATTTTTTTTATTAAATTAAAAAATTACAATAAACAGCATAAACAAAAAAATAAATTTATAAAAAATAAAAATAAAATAAAAAATAGAAAATAAAAAAATTTTACCTGCGCCAGGATTTGAACCTGGGACCTCAGGCTTACCACGCGAGTGCTCTTCTCTGTCGGCCATTGTGACTGCTGGAGCGTCGCGAGCAAAAAGGCACACTTATGCTTTTCACGGGGCATGAATTGGCAGACTATCTCATCAACTGGTATGATGCTACTAGTATTTATACTAGTAGATGCTGATGCATAGCCTGACAATTGACATCTCGTAGGACATCGCAATGTTAAAAATACCAGTCGCTAACATTGAAAAAGGATAGAACGTGAACTAGTTCGGCTGAAACGCAAACCGGTAGAATTCTAGTTCACAACTAGTCGCTTTTCCTGCAGGGATGTACTTGATGGTGAATAAGTTTGCGTGCTCATCGCAGAAATGGCGAGAATTCCACTTGCTGTTTGTTGGCAGCTTGTAAAAGCTCATACCAACGCAAATTTGCTGCTCACTTAAATAGTGGAGCCTTTTTTCTGATTATATGTAAGCCGATATACAATTCATATGTAGGGTGACATGGCGGCAAGGATGAATGAAATAAGTAAATCCTCTGTAGTAATTTGGACTATGTTCTAGCTATTAGAGATTAGTTCTATTTAGGAGTGATATTGGAACAATCATTACGTGATGATACTATCAGCAACACAATCCTAAACTACACAAATTTTGAATACGATTTGCATAGATTTTTTTTATGGTTATGGTCAATTGAACCTTCTCTCATTGCTCTTAATTTGTTTGATTTTGAAAATAATAAATCCTTAACATGTTGAAGGCTCTTTAGCACTACTCCCATTAAGTGACATTAATTACTGGGTTTTCACACGTGACGATGTGTTTGCGTCAAGTTGTGCTATTTATTACTGAAGGCTTGTGAATTACATCAGAAATGCTAGCAAATTGAAAAAGTTGACTTGGTCGGCAGTCAGCGGTTGCAACAACAACTCACAATCGAGCAAGTGTATAAGTAACAGTGGGGCATTTATATAAATATTTCATAGTAAACTTTATTTTTAGCATCGATATTCGGAGGATATGGGAAGTAACAGAAATGAAAAATTTGTGGGATATAAATATTTAATAAAGCGAGAGAAAAATAGAGACGTGTTCCTACAAATAAGCGTTCACTAGGTGATTTTCATTATATATTCACTATATGTTTTAAATTTAATTTTTTTTTTAAATTTTTTACTAAAATTTAGGTAAGTTTGAAACGTTAAGCTCTCACCCCATATTAAAATTATATCTAGAATTGCCCCAAAGACACTTTTTCGTAGAAATGGTACTGAATTCTTGAGAATCAATATTTTTCGATCGGAAAACTCTTTTTCTCCGCCCAATAACAATCAGAAATTGTTTATTTAAGCGTTTTTTAATATGAAATATTATGAATAGGTGTCCCAAAAACACCTAAAAGTACAATAGGGGGGACTCATAAAAATCGTTAGTATGAAAAAAACTTAAAATTAGCAATTGGGTAATATAATTGAAAGTCTTCTGAAGATAAATAGGAAATCGAAAAATATTGATTTTCAAAAGTTCTATACAATTTTTACGCAAAAGTGTTTTTCCCCATATAAAATACATGGACAAATTCATGGGCTTTCAGGTAGTTCTGAACCCCATTTTTTGCAAAAATTACTATTAAAATTAATTACTTATTATTAAAATTAATTATTTCTACTTAAAAAAGTTTCAACATTAATAAAAATTTAGAAAATACAACAAATTTTCATCAGAAATTCAAACTTCTTAGCCAATAAAATTTTAGTAGAAAAAGTTTTAAGCGACTAAAAATTCGCCGTAGTTTTCGGTATTTTATTTTTTTACCGTCTTTTGCAGTTTTTTTCCATATAAACATTAATTTCTTATGGAAGAAAATGCGCAAGACCGTTGGCAAACAAAAAAATAAATACCTAATCAACGCGAGCTTTTATAAATTTGGTTGTTATATAGAAAAATGCCTCAAAAGGCCGGCAGCAATCAAATTTCGTGGGATATAAAACTGTAAAGCTCAACAGTCTAAAACTTAATATTAGAAATTATAACATTTTTATGAATATTTGCTGCATTTTTCTAAATACTTATTTACAAGTATTATATATGTATATAAAGTTCGAAACTTTCGATTTATGTCGTTTTTGTTATGACATGATCAATATTTTTATAAACAAAATTTACAACGAAAAATAACTTGAAAAACGCTGTGAATATTAAAAAAAAAACTGACCGCGTCATCGATTGGCTTAGTCGCTCGAAGAATTTTCTATACCTGTTATAAGTGCCTAACCTTGACAGTGCAAGATACTTTGACAGAGGCCTACCTAAAAGTAAGGTGTTCGACTGTGTTTGATTTTAAGTTTTTCTGTCTGAGTCTGACCAACGTTGAACAGTAAAATATAATGTGCTCTGACATCTTTTATCTTCAATAAAACGATGGCATTCCAAACCGGTGCAAATGCTCCAAAGAGTTTTTGGGGAACGATGCTGGAGTGACAGTTCTGAATCTGGGTCGTTCCGGTTACGTAGACCCGGCTGTCGTGGGACCGACTGCACTCTTGTAATTTGGTTAAATTTTTGCCTATGCCGAGAGATCAAAATAAAGTATTTACAAGCAACAACTCCCTGTGGGCATACTCTTATAGCCCGAATATTCACGAAATTATTGTCCAAGGATGATGTAATATCGCGCTCACGAAGCATGCTGTCGATTTTCCCAGACACTAGAGGGATATACATATGTATGTATGCCACTTTAGAGAATGCAACCTTATGCAAACTAATTGCCATATGTCCTGATTTACTTTAAGTTTTTGGGTACAGCGGTCAATACATATAGAAAAATCATTTTTACAACCCGTACTAACCACTGTGCCTATAAGGCAGCATCGGCTAACATTCAACGTCAAAAGGGCAGTAAATTAAGCAGTTGGTTAGCCTACATACCACAACTCATGGCTACGATGTTATACACATGCATGTATCTACATGCACTTACATACATACAAACTTTTTGTATAGAAGTATGTACAGATGTATGTACACGCGCATGCATGTGTGGGTTTCCTTTGCGGTTCCCAACTACATGTGCCAACTTAGTTGCTACTAATTAATTATTTTAATTAAATTGACTTAATGCATCGCCGATGATACACTCGTTCGTAGGCATGTATGTATGTACACAAGCAACATTTTGCTACAGAATACAAACCACTGAACGAGGTTGCGACTCACATCTTAATTAGTACTAATATGTAATAGGAATATTGAGGCAATTGAACAGAAAGCAACCCCACAGGCAAAATGCGCTAATCCTCAATTTCTCTCTATTATCTATATCCACAGCACCTCCTTCATAACTGAGGCACCCGTTACCAGCACCAGCACCAGCAACAGCAACAGCAACAGCAATCTGAACAAATTTAGCGCCCATAAATGATGCCCGAAATAGATCGCGACGCTGTTGCGGAAATGGTTAGTGGAGCGCATGCGCCTATCTTCAGCACCGCCGCACTACTCGCCAAGGAGCAGCAAAAATTCAAACAACACTCCCGCTTACAGGCCTCACTGGCCGAGCAAGATCACCTCAATATGGCCGCGGCCAGCTCGTATGTGTATCAGAGCCCTTTGACGATACCACCGCATGGCCATCCGCAGTACAACAACTTCAGCTTGAACAACAACAATATTGCCGCTTTGAATCACAATATGGCGGCGCAGCATTTGGTACCTAGTCACGCATGTATTAGTCCTAGTGGTAAAGAAAAGCTTGCTAATCTGCTTAAGGTGCGCGACCCCGAGCAACGCTTGGCGGGTAATTTCCTACAGAAGACACTCGAATCTACGCCACGCCCATCGCCAACAAGCTGTTACACCAACGGCAATGGTAGTAGTATGGCACATATGGAGACGGCCTGTTTGTCAGCACCACCGTTACATACACCGCTCTCACCGCCGCCGCCACCACCGCCGCGCGCCAAGACACCACATCCACGGCGTTTGGACGCCGCTGCTATGCCAACTTCAATTAAATCAACCAAAATCCATATACAAAGTGATCTCGAACTTAAAGCTGCTGCCAGTAATGCCGCCGAAAGCTGGCATCCGCATGTATATGCGCGTCCACCTATGCGGCCCACTCCTCATGCCATTGCGGACATTCTAGGATGGCGCGCCGTCTTTTCGCCGATTCAACAGCATAGTTTGACCGCCACCAACTGTGGCACAAATGCAGTTCATCGCGAAGCAATGGATGAGTCATCTAATTCTTCGTCCAATGCCGCTATAACGCTGCCTCCAGTACCTGCAAAATCGCCCAAAAGTATACTACGCAACTTTCAGCAACAGTTTGCGCAACAACCGCAATCGCCGCAACGTGAACCCGGCCACTTGTGCAGCACATCGGTGAGTGAGACGAGCGAAGATGATGCCAATGGTGGCATAATGGATCAGCCACTGGATCTTTGCGTGCCAAAAAAGGCACGTGATTCGCACTCACCACCACCGCATGTGAAGCAGACGCAAATACTGACAAAGGGAGCTGGCAGCAGGAAGAAAGGTAAGTTAGGTTTTTAGGTGATTTTATCAAAAAAAAAGTCAGCTATAAAGTTCTTCGAGAGCCTAGACAGCTGAGGGAATACTTCGTTGCAGGCTCTTCTAAGATTCGCCAGAGAATCAGAATGTTTTAAAATACATGTATGTACCCTGTAGTCAAATGTACTAGTTGTAAACTACCTCACAACTAGTATGAACCGCATGCCCAACTAGTCAGCCAACTATCTTTTTTCCATGCAATCAACTGGTATTTTTAACATGGGGATGTCCTACGAGATGGCAATTGTCAGATTTCGGTCAGAAATATACCAGTCTCATACTAGTTCAAAATAGGCAGAAAAATGCTAGTCCAATTATGGACCAAAACCACTCCTTTGGCAGTCAAAAAATGAAATTAATTCATGAATATACAATAAAAAACTTTTGATTAAGTGCACTTTAATATATTACACATTTTTATTTAGCAGCCTTAGATTTGCAATAAATTAGTGTTAAATTTTTTGAGTATTAATTAAAAGCAAAAATAAACATAAATATTCCAGATTTTCGAACATAAATTTAAATGCATTTTTCATATATGTATGGGCACGAGCAAACACTGCAGGCATCGCAATAGGGCTCTGCGGCTCTTAACAAAGCCGTCCTCATAACCTGACATAACTTAACCTTCTTGTATTATGTCGCGGAAGGTAGTTTCGCACTTTCCTGTGAAAATTATTACGACATCCTTCGCATATCCCTTCAACGAATACCATTACCAAATAGAGTTCTGTAGAATTTCGTCAATAACTAGGGTGCTCATGAAATATGAGAGAAAATCATTTGTTGGTTGTCCTACGCTGTCCGTAACTTATGTAGCTATGCATCCATGAATAGTTGGCTGCAGTCTTCGATTCTCCAATGCCAGGTAGACGAAAAAACTATGGTTAAGATGTAAACAATAGCAGTGGGCTGATGTCATCTACTCTAAGTATAATCATAGTAATTTTAGTTGGAAAGTGTCCAATTTTCAACACAACTCAGCCATAATACATACCCTGCAAAAAATTGTGCGACTAATCTCTAAAGAGAGTATTCCGAGATTACTCTCAATCGGGTACAATTGGGCATTAATTAGTGCCAACTAGTCTCTTTCGGGCAGTAATGGAAGTTAATTAGTCTCGACTCATCCCTTATGGGTATAATTGGAGATCAATTAGTCCCCAACTCATCTCTAACGGGTACTATTAACGATTTAATGATATGTACGCACTTAGTCAATGAGATTTCGTTTGCGGCGTTGGCATACAGAGAGAGTATTCGCCAAACAAAACTGAGCACTCGGGTTCGAATCTCAGCCGGCGCAAATTTATATTTTTATTTTTTAAATGTGAATAGTCGCTTTTTATACCCGTTCGTGTATAAAGGTGAACAATTAGTCTCTTCATAGGACATGCTCGAACAAAAGCGATCAGTTCATTCCATATAAAGAGATCAAAAGTGGTATTAGTCGCATGCTCCTTTGCGATTGCTCCCGGAGTCATCCCGGATTAGTTCCATTTTTTGCAGGGTATTTATGTATGTACTTGTTTATACACAGATAAATATACACAGATAAATATTTAATTTATGAATTATTCGAAAAAATAGT